GTAAGTTGGGTTTACTTTTACAGACCCTGTATATATTAATCTTCATCATCAAAAGCTTATAAATGTCCACTGCTGACCAAAGGCCTCTTCTCACACGGAGAAGGTTTGAGCATTAATCACCACGCTTGCTCAATACGGGTTGGCGATTCCAAACTTATAATTAGAAATTATAAGTCTGGTTTCCTCACGATGTTTTTCTTCACCGTTTGTCAGTGGTGTCTAAATAATCTTAGATTGTACCTTACTTTATACTGTATTCACCTTCCTTTAGTTTAAAGTACTGTCCTTGATGTAGTCCTACCATGGATTACATAATATGCAATGACATCCTTCCTACGAACATTATAAATGCAAAAGTATTTATATATATGTTGGTTTGTTTATTACTTTTTCACGTCAAAATGGCAGAAGGGATCGGGATAAATCCCCTCATCGCCCATTACATGGGACTCATAACATAAATATTGAAAAGTGAGTGTTATATTGTACAGTGGCATTAAGTGCCGTAATGTGCACCTCTGCCTATCCCTTCGAGGATAAAAGGTGTGATGTTATTTTTTTTATTGAGACATAAGAGTCGGTCAAACATGAAATGACTTCCATAAACATATAAATCCCATATCACTACATAGTATAAAACAAAATCGCTATCCGCCGTCTGTCTGTCCCTATGCATGCTTAAATCTTTAAAACTACGCAACAGATTTTGATGCGGTTTTTTTACATAGATAGAGTGATTCTTAAGGAAGCCTTATATGTATATAATACATGCATATTGCACCCGTGCGAAGCCGGGGCGGGTCGCTAGTAGGTAATAACACTATGTTATCAGAAATTGCTCGCTGCAACAATATACATACGTATATTAACGTTACACATAGCAAACTATACGTAGTTTCCTGTTTTTGTTCAACAGATATCATTTAAATAAAACCACAATGAAATAGGTACAAGTATTGTGTCATTTTGCACAATACATTAAAATTTGTGATTCAATGTGCAAACGTATTAAGGTAAAGAAAAGTCCCGACATGTAAATTTGTCTGGCAATTAGTTACTTTTCCTAGTCAAAATATGTAGGACTAGGTATATAGTAAAATCGAGACACGACTTCTCAATGCAATAAAATATTAACCTATTACCTTATTAATATTAATAAACATAACATAACATCACACCATTTATCCCCGAGAGGCAGAGGTGCACATTATGCCACTGTATAATGTAACACCCACTTTTCACTATTTATGTTACGATTCTCATGTAACAGGGTGTGAGCCCATTGCCATATACCGGGCACAATTCCAGACTCCGTGCTACCAATTAGATTTTTAAAAACCCAGTAATTCTTTGCTGAACCCGAGACCCCTTGAGCGGCAGTCGCACTTGCGACCACTCGGCCAACTACGTAGCTAAAAACGTTATTTTTAATACACATACAATTTTGTGCAGCTCGGACAACTTACAGGTATTATTTCAAATTTTTTATTAGGGTAAAAGGAATGACCTCATTAAAATCCGCTACGACGTCGAACCTGCAGCTGTAGCCAAATGTCATTTAACGCTTGTCTGCATGTAGAATAGAAAACCAAATTACTTGTATATGGAATTGACGTATATTTTGACACTTGTCAGTGTCATTCCCATACATTTAGTTTTCTACTCTCTTTGTAGACAAGCGCTAAAGTGGTGTTTGGCTAAAGGCCCTGGGCAGTTGGCTACAGCTGCTGGCCAGGCGAGATGGTGGTCAAACGCCATCAAAACTACTTATAGCCATGACGTCATCACATTAAACATTCATTAAACATTCTACGCCATATAAAAACTAAACCCGAAATGCCAAAGAACTGAAACAATAACACAGATTCGTAAAAACAACTACAGTTATCATTATCACAGAGGAAAAGTTGCATCAAAATATCAAAATAAAACAGTGCTACACCCACTTTTTGCACTACACAAAGAGCTGGCCGGTCAACGGACACACCCTCACACACATGTCTTGCACACAGACGCAACATGCGCGTGGGCAAGTCACAGTCACACGCACAGTGTGCAGCGATGCGCGACCAGTTGTATGCGGTTTCAAGTTTTTTCCTTATACTACCTACCTTATAGCATAATGCAGTTTAAAATGTTACACTTTGGACAAGAATTCCATAGTTTCCTGTTCACCATTTTATAGGCTTTAGTAAGCTGACTGCTAATGCTAAAGTAGTACTTAACTCGTCACATTTTTATCTTGGAACTAAGGACCATTGTGATAGATCTAATTTGAGTTGAAATTAGGCAACTTACTAGCAGCGTCTCTGGTGTCTTGCGTAGCGCCAATTGCTAACCATCAGGTGATCCGTTCGCCTCCTCTCCTAAAGAATAAAGAATAACCTTGGATGGCTGTCGCTGGTTGCTCCAGCTGGATGTAGTCACAAGGCAATGACGTAGTTGGCTTAAAACAGTTGAAGATCTACCTCAGTAGATATGTATTACTTATAAATTGTGGACTGAAAAACATTAGTTATAGCTTAAAATAAATAATATGACATGTTCTCTTGTTCAGCATTTCAAATCGATACAGTTTCGGACCCGTTCAGACTAATGATAATTTGGGGATTATTTCACAAATTAAAAATCAGTTGATATAGGTAACGATAATAGATAACAGCTATAATTAAACCCAATGCCGTTATCGGAAGTGAAATAATTAATTGATCTTGACAGGTTTTGTTTAAAACAATTTGTAATTAGACTTGATTATAAATAAATATGTAAAGATAATACATTGACATTAAATTGGTAGCAGACCCGTAAGGACACGTAATTACTTTGTCGGTGATCAATTAAAACATAAAAGAACATCACGCCTTTTATCCCCGAAGGGATAGGCAGAGGTGCACATTATGCCACTGTACAATGTAACACCCATTTTTCACTATTTATGTTATAAGTCCCATGTAATAGGGGGTGAGCCTATTGCCATATACCGAGCGCAATTCCAGACTCCATACTACTACTGAGATTTTTTTAAAACCCCAGTAATACTTTGCCCGACCCGTGAATCGAACCCGAGACTCCTTGCCCGGCAGTCGCAATTGCGACCACTCATGTTATTTGTATAACATACTTTTCAGTATTTAGTGAAAAGTGGGTGTTACATTGTACAGTGGCATTAAGTGCCGTAATGTGCACATTTGCCAACCCTTTCGGCGACGTTTTTTTTTATAAAGCTTCTAGTCTATTGTCCACCGCAGCAATAAATAAATAACATAAAACAAACGACTACACATTACACATAGGCTAAACAGTCCAGTATATCATGGACTCGCTTCGTGGGACCCTTTGATACACTCGTAGATCAGTTTATATTGGTTTTTTATAACTTATATGAACTATGTATTATTTTATCAATACACGATTCAATATACAATTGACTCATTATTTTCTTGTAGGTAACATTTTCATCAGACGAACATGAATAGTTGCGTCATGAAGTGCCAGTTAGTGTTAAGATGACACTATGACACTATCTGGGCCTTTGACACTACGTGAATAAAGTACCAACGCAATATTTTTCTGATATTATAATTAATATGCGTCGTAGAGTTTATTATATATGACTAAATTATATATTTCTGCCTCATTGGCCGTGTGGTCGCAAGTGCGACTGCCGGGCAAGGGGTCTCGGGTTCGATTCCGGAGTCGGGCAAAGTATTACTGGGTTTTTAAAAAATGTCAGTAGTAGCACGGAGTCTGGAAATGTGTCCGGTATATGGCAATAGGCTCACCCCCTATTACATGGGACTCATAACGTAAATATTGAAAAGCGGGTGTTACATTGTAAGTACAGCGACATTACAGTGTACCTGCATAAAGTTGTATAAATCCTGCTTAACCGTCTATGTAATAACTAGAGTGATAATACAACTAAGTAACTAATAATGAATTATTACAAACCAGAATCGAATCTACAACCGATCACTGTATGATCATCTAATAACAGAAAACCCACAGTTAATTAAATAGAAATAAATTTACTTTATGTATATGTTACTGTAAAAGCTCGAACTGCAGTAAATCCTAAGATATTCCGGTAAAACCTAAGATCTACCAATTCCTAATGGTAAATGTCCAAAAAGATTTGCGATTCGAACTTTTACCACCATTCCGTTGGTAAATCTTAGGATTTACATCAATGGCATGGTAAATGTTGAAAAACAAAACATGTCATAATGTGATCAGCGCATCAACTTCTAGCTTGTCGCCCCCGCTACCCGCGAGCCGTCTCCGCCACCCCGCTCGCCTCAGTCGCTCGTTTGACACGTTTGAACTCGCGCGATAAATGGTGTTTATGGTATTAAGGTTACTATTTGCTTAGCAGGAATTATATGAATTAAAATGCGTGTTTGCTTGAAGACTGTTTATTTGCGACTGAACTGAGGTGGGGGGATGCGGCGCGCGTCACAAACACATGTATAGTTACGATATAGTAGTAGTTACAATATAAATACAACATGCCGCCCACCAAAAGGACGTAGTTCTTTTCTAAACATAAAAAAAAACATCTTAGCCTAATACATATATCTTATATGTAAAATTCACACTAAACATTTATTCAAAATCAATAGGTAATGCGCATAACTTTGAACAACATCTCTTCACTATGCTGTTGCCGCTTTTTATACTGTAGACTCTGGTAACGCCGTCCTCTCCGGGGTGTTTCTCTATAACACGACCCAGGGAATACTTTCCTGGTGGTAATCCGTCGGTCTTTATTAAAACAACATCACCGACCTTGAACTCTTCTATTTTCTTTAACCAAATGGGACGTTGTTGTAATCTTGTTAAGTATTCTTGTTGCCAACGTCGCCAGAAATCACCTAGCAACTTTTGTGTGTACTGCCACCGGGAAAGGGAATGCATCTTTGCGTCTTTGAAGTCAGGCGACGGTACAACGATAGGAGCTTCACCAATAAGGAAGTGTCCAGGTGTAAGTACTTCTATGCAGTCTGGATCTTTGTCGTCGATAGGACACAGCGGTCTGGAATTGAGACAGGCCTCTATCTGGCACAGCACGGTAATCATTTCTTCGTACGTGAGGTTGGTGGAGAGAACGCGTTTCAAATGATGTTTGACCGACTTTACACCTGCTTCCCACAAACCACCAAAGTTCGGTGAGTACGCTGGTATGTAATGCCATTGCGTTCCTTCCATTGCCAGTGTGTTTGATATTACACCTTCGAAGACCAGATTTGCTTCTTTCCATGCAGCCATCAGCTCTTTGTTGGCACCAACAAAGTTTCGTCCCTGGTCACTCCATATATCGCTACATTTTCCTCTTCTTGCAACAAACCGCTTGAATGCAGCGATGAAGGCTTCTGAGGTTAAATCGCTTACCAGCTCAAGGTGTATTGCCTTGGTTGACATGCATATGAATACGCAAATGTACGCCTTTTGAGTTCTAATGCCTCTTCCTTTGGACATGCTTATCTGAAATGGGCCGGCAAAATCAACTCCGGTATGTAAGAAAGCTCGAGCAGGAGTGACTCTCACTTTAGGCAGGTCACCCATTATCTGTGTTCTTGATTTTGCTCTAAGTCTGGCACATATAAGACACTTGTGAATGCACGATTTTATGAGTGTCTTGCCGCGTATAATCCAATACCTTGAGCTTAGATAACTCAACATGAGTTGAACACCACCATGCAATGTTCTAGCATGTGCATCAGCGATAATCAAGGTCACCAAATCGTTCTTGTTTCCTAATACAATAGGATGTTTAATCTGCTCATCCAAGTTCGCGTTACGAAGTCG